AATTAAAAGAATTAAATAAAAAAAAAGACAGCAACAGAAATATTTACTGAGTTTGCATATCATTAACTAAAGAAGAAAATACTAGAAGTCACACCAATCCACATCTGTATTCAGAGTCACTAAATTACTTTTAACCCATCAGCAAAACACAGTTTGATAAAAATAGAAATGAAAGATGTTTCCTAAATTGCCATGTGTATAGAGCTCAAATCTAGAATTCTGAATGTATTTCATCTAACTACATTTTGAAGTCCGATAACTGAATTTTAAATCATTTATTTATAGGAACCAGAACTGCAGCATCAGCAATTTATTCCAGAAACTTTTTATATTAAAAATACAATAAAATACTTGACTGAAAATATAAATGCTATCAGCGCTATGGGCCAGAGAGACTCTCTGCCACTGAGTGGTAAAATTCCTTACATATTAAAATGAACATGATTGATTAGGTAACAAGAGTGCTCACAGGCTGTTGAGAGTGACAGGGCTTGTCCTTCCAGACCAGACAGCTGGTTTAGCTGTCAAGTTTCTTGTCCAAAAATAAAATTACTGACTAATTCATAGGACAGCACAAAAGCCATGGAACAAGCAATAAGTAAATAGTTTCCTTATATGCAAAATTCTTTGTTAGCCTAATTGATGTTTGGTTTATTTCCTGAAGCAAAGAGCTTATTGGTGTGAAGGTGGGAAAGGGGAAGATGAAGGGACCCTAAAAAACAATGCACAGCTATTCCCATCTATAAACCTGTTAAATTGTACTGATTAGGCCCTTAGTTTTACAGATATTTTATAGAAATTAATTGCATAGAATATTTGTGTGTGGTATTATCTGTGTTAGCTTTTGCCTTCTTATTTTTCATCATAGCTTCATTCTAAATATTTCACCTTGCCAAGTTTTATCCAGATAGCTAAAATTTTAAAATTCAAGCTGGTATGTTAAAAGAAATGTATAAAAAAACAGATTTCTAATTTCTTTTTTTTTTTTTTTTTTTGAGGGAATATGGATATCTAACCTAGCCTCAATTTTTTATTCAATATTTTAATATTTCTGATTACATCCTTAACAACAGAAGTTGTAAGAAACAATTAGAGGATCAAATAGGTATATTCACAGTTGTTATAAATTATCAAATTTTTACTGGGCATATCATGATCTTCCCAGAACTCCCAAACTCTAAGCCTAACAATATAAATCAACTACAGCTTATATATGGTAAGAATATCAAGGGTCTCATCATCCTATTAGTTTGGATGTTTGTTCAACTCCCCCCCTCTTCCCACAAGGGTTTCAAGAAGAAAAGTGACAAGTGTTTCTGCTAGCAATCTTTGCTGTTCTGTGTACTGCTCTCTTTTCATTTTTAAGGAGGAGACAAGGGCATTCCCAAAACACCACTAAATCAAATGTTTCAACCAACAACTCAGGTCAAAGGACACCACATGTAGCTGTACCAATGACACAACTATTTACTGCAGGTTTCAGAGGAAAAAGGCAGTTCTCGGACACTTGAACATGTCCAAGGGCATTTCAGCTGCATCTATGATACTCAAATAAACTGAGCACATGCTTAAATCTTCTTTTCCCCAGCTTAATTTGTTTTGGTCTTGCTAACAGGTTAGAAGATTGCAAAGTAGCACCCTAGTGTGCCTAATACTACTAGTCTCCTACACCAAAAACGGAAAATATCTAAAACTTGACTTGTGGCTATTGATTAACAGGAACTGCAGCATTACATACATCTGATGATGTAGAAAGTTTCAGTCTTATCATCAATATGAATCATTAAAGGTGGAGCTGGAAAGTCCTCCATAGTGTTCTGTATTCTCTATTTGTGTACTCTTTTCAACATTTGGCTAAATAATCTTGTCACCAGTTCTTCAAAAAATTTCAGTTTTTATCTGGTCTTTTACCTCTTTTACTGTAACTTTGTTCCTTGTCGCTCTAATACACTATTACTACATTACTATTACTAATTACTATATTATATAACTGGATTTCTCTGCCTTTTTGTAGGTCATTATTTTCTCCTAATAAAACAAATAAACTGAACCTCATGATACTTTGAGGTTTAAATGTGTGTCAGCTAGTTGCTTGCCTCTGTTTTACCTTTGTTCCTAAAGAAAATAATAATTTTTCACTATTCTAACTCATATATCAATCCAGCCCCCTTTAGTTTGGCATTCAACACTCAAAGTTACTCAAACCCTTCTGTAGTGGCTAATATGGCCTGAGTTGATGGAATTCTCTCTTGATTCTACACTGATTTCACATTGATTGCAAACACTTTTAGGGCTCCACATACAAGAAGCATCTTCTCTCTTTTTTCTCAGTAGCAACAGTTTTTCAACTCTCCCCAGACAAACCACAGGGCACGTTCCAGTCATGGGGACAAGGAGAGAGGAATGGCATGATTCCTTGAACCCTTTATCCTTCTTTTGTCAGCAGGGATCCCTGAATCTGAGCAGAAGTGGGAATACCCAGGGGAAGGAGTTACAAAAATAATAAGGCACATATATGAATAATAAAAATACAATCTGCAATTTATGAATAGTAAAAATACAATCTGTGATTTTATAAATCATGAGGAAAAGATATAATGCAAAATCAATCTCATATTTCAGCAGCTTCTAAGAACGCAGATGTCTGGAAGTAAACTTTTCCCACAAGCTTCTTAGTGTATGACTATGCACCACAGAAGCGTATGTACCTTCCTCTAAAGCCTCTAGTACTGACTTCTAGAGGTAGAACAAAACTAGAGAGGTATAATACAGGATGCCTATTTTAATATTTAAATAATATAACTTCTACTGTTAATAGATTTTGCTTTCTCAGCAAAGAAGGGTATTTTTTTCTTAACTCAAAGTAATCATGAGGGACATACAGTTGCTGTTGACTTCCATTTAAAGGAAGAAATAGAACAGACAGGTAAAAGAAAATTCCAGGTGCTAGCTTCCCTGAATGTCACTTAATGCCTACTTAATGACATGTTTCTCCGGCATGGCACTCTTGACTGCCTCCTTGTGCCAGTTGACCCAAGTCATTGTATAGTATACAGAACATGAAATTTCAGTCAGCATTTGACATACATGTTTCAGTTCATGATTCCAGAATCTTTGTAGAAACCAGGTAGACAAATTGTACTTACTAATATTCTGTCTCTAGATAATACAAGCACTTAATTAAGGGGAATTGAAGCAGTGATAGTAAAAAAGTGAAGACAGAACTCTCATAAGGCTTATGAGAGTTATGGTTCTCATATGGCTTTAAAACTACACAATTTTAAGAATGCATTTTGATTAATACATATATGTGAATATTCAGTGTCTAGTTCCATAAGTTCATTGATAGAATAAATAACTCATTTTCAAATACTGAAACTACACTTTGGCAGAAAAGTAAATTAACTGTTTATTTCTGGAGACAATTTGTTTGATATGTGCAATAAATAAATCACCATATTCATAAAATAATTCCATTTATAGTTTTCCTCTTTAATACATTCCAATAATACGGGAGGTAAATGTTAATTAAAAAGATAAAAGATGTAGAGTGAGGCCCAATAAAATGGTGTAGGTGAAATGGCAAAACAAGGGTAGGAAATGTTTCCTTAGATAGTTATATTCTATTCAGCTCCTTCACATGAGAGTTCATTTAATCTCCTTACTCCATACCAATCCTATTTCTGACTCAAATTTCAGTCAAGCATTGAGGGAGCAGGAAAATTAGCAGAATAAGTCTGATTATACATACAATACATGAAGTCATATTTTTGCAATACATACAGTCATAACATGCTAATCTCTAAAACGTAACACCTTTCAAAGCTGACAAGAGACACACATGAAAATAATTTTGCCATAAGTATCAACATAAAAGAAGCATCTAAACGTGACAATATACCACGTCCCTCCTACATGTTGAGAAAAATTCCTATGCCTTCAGTAGTAAAAACTACATTTATAAAATACTCAAATAATCAAGCAGTACATATACAGTTTTTAAGCATTTTAAGCAATTTTCACAGTTTTCTTTTTGTTTTGTCAATTCTATTTTCATTAATAGGGTTTTCGTCATGAGCTTTGCTAAAGCTCTTCCTCTATTTTCCCCACACTGAAATGTACATTATAGAAAGTATTTATATGAAGTATATCAGTCTACATTATCTGCAAAACTAGTAATACTTAATACATCTGATGATTTCTTTGTCTTCAAATATTAAATAGCTCCATTTACAGTAACTTTGCCAATCCTTGAAGCAAGGTACTACATCCTGGAAATAAAAGTCTGAAACAGATTTCTCTTCCTCAGCCAGCTTTTATGGGTCAGAAGTCTCATGTTTTCCACTTACAATCTGACCTCAATTAATGAAGTCTTTTAGAGGACACTAAATTATTTTTGTATAATAGAAGTTTAAATTGAAAATAACTTGATTATTTTAATTAACACACTGTATATGACATGACCCTGCTCCAGATAGCAGGAAATTTTGGATAGTATATTTGAGGCTATACCACTACACAATGATTCAGATTTTTGGCAAATTACCACAGCTGGGGTGGGAGCTTTTGTTGGTGTATAAAATACTTCTCCAAGAGCTAAACTGCCACTATTAAACTAAGAAAAAGTACATTTTCTGGTTTTCAGTAGATCGAGATAACCCTGTGTTCAACTATATGAAAGCCATGAACAGGTTTGAATAGCTCTCATTCCATCTGTCATTCAATAAACCTCTTTTTTCCTTCTCTTTGAGTTTTTAAAACATGGCCCTATTGTTCATTCCAACAGATAATTACACTGCCACTTTTATTTGCTTTAACTTATCCTTCTTAAATTTTAATAATCAAGAAGATTTTGCTGCACATTTCCAAGAATTTTATTATAGACACACAAGAAACTTTTGCTGAAGAAACAACCTCCCACTCATCTATTACTTTCTAAAAGGATATTGGGTATTTCAGTTTAGTATATTTTGTTGCTTTTCAAAACAAAACTCCCTTGCCTTAGAATGATAATCTTGTTCCAGTCTGGAATCTGATCCTGCTACCTGTTTGTACTTGCTCATTTTCATTTGGCGATTCCTCTCTTCTACATCCATTGCACCTGTTAAGTTAAAAAAAAAATAGAAAAGAAAATAAATACACAAACAGTCCTCAACTCCATGTTTAAAGTTATGCTCATGGAAGTTTTAACAGAAAGAGATGAAATTTGATTTACGTAAATTACAGAGTATATAATTTTAGTTTCTGAATTACAATTTTGCAGTAAACCAAAGTTGTAAGAGGTGGAAAATAGTAGATAAGTATTTCAGCAGAATCTTATTAAGTGTTGTATTAGCTACACAATTCAAATGAAACCAACTTTGTGGAAGAAATTAATGTAAATGGAACACAATGTTTCCACAGAATAGAATTTTACTATTTCAAAAATAATCAAGAGAAATTGAGTCTTTAATTTAAAGAAAAAAGGAATGCAAAGACAATTTGCTTATTTTTGGTGGAGATCCTGGTTCTGCATTTGTTATAGTGTGATGTATCAAATTACTAATCAAGTAACAAACATAGGCTAGCAGACCTTCTGTTTACCATTCGAGCATCTTTTTAGTACGCTTAAAACAATTTAAAGATGGCTAAAGGAATGTTAAAGAGCCACCCAGTGGCATCACTGTATTACATTCTAATGACACACAACTGATTTCAGGATTCACTCTTGGACCAAATACATGATTACTCTCAGTTAGGGATGAGTTCTTACTACATGACTCGGGCACCAGCTGTTTTCAACCAACTGGCACGGTAATACCACAATTTACTATGTGAAATAATAAGGAAGTAAGTGCCAAAGCTGAGGTAGAAGTAAGTGTCAAAGCTGAGAAATAGAAAAATGAGAGGAAGACAACAGCCTAGAATTTTAAAAAAATATTTTCAAACAAAATAAGTTATCTATTATACATGCACAGGCTTGATTTTCCTCCACTTTAACATGGTATACATCAAAAGTAATTAGTTATCCATTGAATGCTAAAATGTATTCATTTTGACTGACATTTGTCTTAAACTTCCCATAATTTTAACACAGAAGTTGTCTAGGATTAAAGTTTCAGAATCCCATTAGTCATAAATGAAAGTTTCTGTACATTATATGTATTGACCAATCTGGACTTTATTTACGGAACTGGGATAGGAATATTAGATTCCAGTGTACTATATAAACCTGACTTAAAGTCTAAACTCAGTTCTAAGTCATAATCTAATAATAAAGTGGGACTTTTCCCAGGGCCTCTGCAGGGCCTCTGAGCCTTGTATTTTCTTCCTTGACAACAGCAATGGTAGTAGCACATACTGTGAGAGCTGTCAGCCAAATCTTGTGGCACTTCATATGAAATCTGGAAGGAAGGGGATATGCAATAAGGCTAAACCGTACTGTTATCTATAAACACTCTGGCTTCTGATTTTTGTATTCAAACTCTCCATCTTTACTCCCTACAAACAGCATGAATGAAAAGACATCATCAAAACTTTTAAGAGAAAAGAAAGAAAAATGAATAAAAAAGAAGAAATGGTGTTTTATAGGGAGAAACAAATCAAAAAAGATAGCAGCAGATGAAAATTACTAAAATAAAATACAGTTAATTTTTCCTATCATAATTTTCCTCTACTATTAAAAGGCCCAAAACAGTATTTGGCAATTTCTCATTAAGATGCAGTGATTTTCTTAAGGATCTAGTTTTAAAAGCTCTAAAGATATATTTTTTTTCTCTTGAAAACAAAACTTTCAAACTGGAAAATTGTATTTTTCTTTTTTAAATGATAGAAAGAACACATTTGTGGTTTTGGAGTAAAACACACTAACTTTTGCTCAAAGAAAGAAATAATCTATTGCTGAAATCACAACATTCTGCAAATCCACTTGTCATTCTTCAGTAACATAACAAAGGAGATATTTTTCACCAAAAGGGAAATTTTATCTATTTTTCTTATGAAGTTGTCCTGGTTTCAGCTGGGATAGAGTTAATTTTTCTTTTTAGTCGCTAGAATAGTGCTGCGTTATGGATTCTCTATGGGATTTGGTATGAGAAGAATGATGACAATACACTGTTTTCAGTTGTTGCTGAGAGATGAAGGACTCCCCAGCTCCCCATGTCCTGCCTGTGCGCAGGTGCACAAGAAGCCGGGAGGCACGGCCAGAGCACCGGACCCAAATTGGCCAAGGAAATATTCCATATCGTGTAATGTCATGCTCCGTATATAAAGGAGGGGTGGCTGGGAAGGGGCTCTCTCTCTTGCTTCCCAGATTGTGATTGTGGGATCTTGGTATTTCAGGATCACTAGCTGGGAAAGGGCTGGGTATTGGTCAGCAGGTGGTGAGCACTCACATCATACATTACCCGCTTGTACTTTCTATTATTGTTATTGTTCTATTTTACTTCAATTATTAAACTGTTTCTATCTCAACCTACGAGTCTCCCTTTACCCCTCCAATTCTCTCCCCCATTCCCCGGGCAGGGGAGGGTGAATGAGTGGCTGCACGGTGTTTGGCTGCCAGCCAGGTTTAAACCACAACAGAAGTTATCCTAGGAAATCATTACAACTGTTCTTTGTCCCCAGACATTCTGACAAATTTCAGAAAATTACAAGAACTGATGAAATAACACCTCTTGAGCATAAATTAGAAACTTGTGAAAATATTAATTCTTAATTCTTATCTATGATCAGTTGGCAAAGTGAAAGTTGGGTTCCACAAATCCAGTTGCCTATGATGTACAAAACCAAGCACTCTGAAAGATGCCATTGAAAAGGGGAGTATAATACATAAGCCCTTGGTGTGAGTACTCTGTAGTAAAACAAGCAAAATTGGTGTCTCATTTTAGTCTCAAGAGAAAAACAAGACAGCAAAATTTAGAAAAAAAAACAATTTCCATAAAATCTTATTAAAAGAAAATCTATCTTGCTATGTATTTTTGAAACTGCCTTTTATAAGTGAGTGAATTCAGTTATATGCAAAAAGAGAGAATCCCGAGGGCAGTAGAAAGTTCATAATGGAGAAGATCAGCTTTGGTTCTACTAAACATGGAACTGACGTGCAGAAAGAGTGTGCAGGGTTACTGGCTGCCGCAGGCTAATCTCAATGTAACTTAAGCCAGATGCAGCTGTGATCTGGATGGGAGTAGGAAAGGTTGAGAGAGTGTCACAGCACTCCCCATTCACGTGGTTCAGCATGCATGCATGTAGCACAAAGTGCTGGAAATTCAGGGCTATCATCATCTCAACTTCTGCTGGAAAAGCGATACTTAGATGAAACCTATGTGCGAGGGTTTAGCAGGAGCAGAAAGTACTGCCAGAGAGTTCAGTAAATGTCCAGGTGCATTAGGAAGCTTCAGCTCCTAACATGATTTTGGTAAGCAAGGCTTAACATCAGTCCTATACTAAGGACTCTTCTGTAATCAGTAGGTATATATGGAGTTTGTGTAGACAAATCAGAACTCACCTGAATCTAACTATTAGTTAGCAACAGTGGTGAAAATGTAGGAGCATAAGCTTTCACACTGGTAGCATGAGGCTGACTGAGCCCTTGTGTTATTCAGGTCCTTAGCTAGAGCCCAGCACAACACATTTTCAGGACTACAGAGACTGACACTAGAAAAATTAAAGATACTTGTGATATACTTTCATGTACTGCCACTATATAACAAAGTGTATGCAACCAAATTCTGGTCAGGCAAAAGTTAGTTCATTTGTACATTTCTGCCTTAAATTCCTTCCAGGATTTTGCTTCTAGACAGTAGCTGTGCCTCCAACAGAAATACCCAATAAGACACTCAAACTTCAGCCACAGGAACACAAAAAATTAAGAAAGACTAATGGAAGAAAAAAACCTGGTGTTGCTTACCAAACACAACTGGGATAACTACACTACAGGCAACATCTCGGAGTTTTGCTTATTTTGAACAACTCTCTAACATTAAAAAACCCATGGCCTGAAGGTTAGCTCGGTGGGGTTTTCATCAGCCAGCTGCTGATTCAATACCAGCCATTCTCCATATCTTTAGATGAGAGTGTGCTGAGGGAAAGCAGCACAACAATTCAAACGGTCCTGAAATGCCAGAGCAAGGCACCCAAGTACTGTGCACAGCAACCCTGTAACCTGCCCTCAGATCCACGAGAACTGTAGTGAGAGACTGATTTGTGCCACAGCTTGGCACTAGTGACTAAAGTAAATGAAGCATTAGGCCACACGAATTGTACTTTAACCTTTGTTTTTATCTACAGAAATGTAACCAGTAGATAAGGAAGTATAAGTAAAACTTTAACTACAGAATATTCTGTAACGAAAGATAATAAAACGTCTTAAGTCACAGATGAAAAGGGTGCCTGGAGGCTGCAGAAGCATATCAGAAGAGAAGATCCCAGACACTATGAATAGGATTGGATGAGCAGAATTGCCATCAGGAAATCAAGCAGCCTACAGCAGCTATAAAAGCCAGTAACAACCGATAGTCAGGGCCACTCTTCAGAGGCACCCAGCTCAAACTGTAACTACTATTGAATATTAAACGTACTAGAAGAAGGAACTCTGATTCTTTTACTGAAGTGGAACCTAGGCACCAGCCCTGTTGAGGTGCCATCAGCATAATTCCTTCCACAGTCTAGGTGGCAACTGTATAATTCCTACAGGAGGACTCAGGGCAGGCACTAGAATCACTGCTCCAGCTTCAAATGCAAACCTTTATTTTCATGTTTCAACTTGAATTAAGATAAGATTCAGCTACTTCACCATTTAAGCTTTCTGCATAACTGAAAACTAAATGTTTGTTTTATGTTAAAAATTTTAAAGGGCTGTAATCAGTGGTGTAGTTAATACCTAACTTTTCCTGACCTCAACTGCTTATAGAGTCACATTTTTACAAGGAGATAAGCGATCATTCAATTCAGCCAGGAGCTAAAGGCTGAATTATTTGCTCTTCGGGTCAAATATCAGTTACTCTCTAGGGTAAGACTCCTTAATTGATAGCCCAGTGGTCCACACCAGAGACAAAAAGGACAACAAAATGGCCTTATCAGCAACTTTAGCTTAAGGCAAACCTACCTATTAAAAAAAAAAAAAAAAAAACAACAAAAAAGCCAAAAAAACAGTTGGCAGCTGTGTTCTTTCATTCTTTCTTTCACTGCTTTCTCTAGTGGGAATTATTAAACTATTCTAGCTACTGTAGATAGCGATGGTGTTGTTTAGAATCTGCTGTACAGTGGGGCTTCTGGGGCACAGAGAGTAAAAGGGAAATCTGGGGTACAGAAGTAGAGTAGAGTTTCTCTTAAAATATTAGGACAGATTTAGTTTTGGATAGGCATGGACAAGAGGGATATAAAATCTGGGAGGCACAGCAGCTCAGGCTTGAGGGAAAACTAGTGAAGAGGGGACTACAGAAACACTGAGACTTTGGAAGTTAGAAACCTGTAATAGAGAGGAAAAAGGCAGTGTGCAGGTGAGCACGCTCTGTGCCTGGAGTGGAGAGGACAGAACAGAAGTCTTATGGTGTACAAGAGCCTTCTTTAGCTGATTCTGGTCTCTGCCCATTTCTCACCTTAATTTGACTTGCTTAAAAAGTAAAGGAAATACATTTGGGAAAGACCTTTCTTAGCTTCCATTTCCTAGTGCCTATTTTTAAATCCCAGAAATACACCAAAATTGTGATCCAACTCTATGGTACACATTTGCTCACACATAATAGATCAAAGAACAGAAGGGAAAAAAAATGAAAATATTTTGAATAAGTCACCCTACCTGTATCCCCATTCTCTGGATCTGCTTGCTTTTCTTCTATAAACAAATGAAAGCAATATGTAAAACAAAAAGAGGGGAAGAGAGAAAATGCAGAAATAATAATAAAAGTAATATAAATCATGCATTAAAAAGAAAAATTAATAAAACCCACCAAATTAATTTAATTTGATGAGATTAGTCAGCCAACCAATTATGGTGCTCTACATCCAGTGGCATATTCACTGCATGCTAATGTATACAGTTGTGCACTTTTACTGGAGACTTACTGGAGGGACCTCATGAGTATTTTGTGCACTTCTGGAATCATTACCACACTCAACACAAGAGAGAGCAAGGCAGGTGTCAGACACAATTACTTTACAGTTTCCTTGAATAGGATGACACAAAAATAAAAGTAAAAAATCCACTTGTGTTGTTCATTTTATGCAGTGCACACACAATGTACAGTCTAATGGTTCAAGCATAAAAATTGAATGTGTCAGAATTTTTCAGTAAGTAAATCTTCATTGGTTTAATCAATTCTCATAGCTTCTACAGGTTAGAAGGTTTAATAATGGTAGCACTGTAGCTTGTCTTAGACTTAAAAAATTACAAAGAACAAAAGGCACTAACAGCAATACTCAGGACCCAGTTCATGCACATAAATCCAGCTAACTGATGCCAACAAATATTCTGAATGCATATCAAAGGTTGTAAATGGATCAGGGCATTCCTCTGTCACAAAGAAATGAAAATACATTGGATCCCTGTCAAATAGCTTGTCAGCTCATAAATACTGCACTCTGAAATCCAAGTTTGGTAATTAATGTGAAAGAATTCTAAGTCAAATGAAATCTACTTTAATTAGAAATACATTAAGTTTTAAACAGACTCTCTGTTTCCTTTTCTTACTGTAAGTCAAAATGATATTAAATTCAATTAAAAGAAGCCCATGAATATGGAGCAACAACCCCCAAGCTACAAACCAAAAATAGCATGCATTATTAGAATTAAATATTTTTCAAGAATTACTGGCTATTGAGGGTTGCTCACAAAATTATGATCTACTTTATAGTACATAGACTGAAGAGTGAAACAGAGCTGGCATATTTTAAGGAAATACCATTTTGCAGATGGCTACCAAAGCAGAGGATGAAGACATACTTAAAGAGAAATCACATTGGGACAAGTTAGAAGTGTAAGAGAAAAATATGTTCCTGCAGAGAGCATAAATAATGGACCACACTTTGATAGGATCTGGCATCCCATCCTGCGTGGGATCAAGGTTGTTGTTCTGCTGGCAATTCCGAGTGGAACTGTTAGACAAATTAATGGGAAATAGATATGGCAAGTCATAAGCCTACACTTTTGTAAATCAGTGGATGCCAAGTGGGTTCTTGAAACCTCTCCCATTCCCAAACATTTCCTGCCTCATGTTGTACACAGTTTATATATAAGGCCTTTACATTCTTCTACTTTGGCTCTTGGCCTTTGGGCCTATATTATCTATGCAGGTTGTGGATGTGTTTGCTTTTCAAGTTTTCATTTTTTTATTTTTTATTTTTAAATTGCTGTCACCAATATAAAGGTGCAAATACAACACTGTCTTCTACTGCCTCATTACTTTCTAAATCAGAAACCAATTTGATAGCAATACCACTAATTCAACATAATGCAAAATAGATGAAAGTGAAGCAAGTCATTAAAATACCGTCGAGTTTGAGCTCAGACGGAATGATATTTCTAAGTTATTTCATATGTATGTTGAAAAGACGCTTTGCTTTGCCTGAAATATCATCTTAATACAGAAATCTAATAGTATATAGGATAATTCCTTTTTTAAAATGCCTAGAAGCCCATTCATCCATATGCCTGGATGTCTTTAAACCATAAGTCTTTAAACAAAGACATTGTCAAAATAAGGAAAACTTGAAGCCTCTCCGGCTTCCACGTATTCTTGCTCTATATTTAAAAAGTATACAGAAAAATATTTCCAAATTGACTTATGGAAAAGAATACTCTAGTATTAGCAAGCATAAAATTCTATTAGATTCTTGAATTTTGAAAGCATAATTGAAGTGCTGTGACATTTATTAAAAATCTCTACAATAAATAAATCCTTTAGATTTTTGCAAGAAAGGTCATGACATTGGATTTTACTCTCCAAACTGAGGTTTCAGTTGTAATGTGAAGAGCTGACTGAAAGAGTATTGGAAAGAACAGAAGATTGAATTGAGAAAGATCTCACTTGGGTGGGAAGCAGCAGAACTGAACGTTGGTATTGCCCATTGACTAAATAAAACTAATAACTTCTCAACAGCAAAGATCTTCACAGCAGCTACGGGCCTTGTCATCACCTCTTAAAAGAATTCAGAGCAGGTTCAGAATGTTGATGCTTTTGGTTCCCCCAGTTATTAGGTTCTCAAATTGAAAAAGCTATGAAAACCCTTTATGTCTTGAAAATGCTAAAACCCAAGAAATCACTATGAGTTGATTTTAAAATGTCTCAAACTGAGTAATATAAAAATGACAAAGAGACCACTCATTCCTAAAAATGTTGATCTATTTCTATTTACAAGACTTCCTCAATATCAACACATAAGCCAATATTTTTCTGTATCACTTGAATTAACCTTGGTTTACAATGTGAAAAGCATATACTGTATCCTGTGGTATAATTATCTCAATTTAAGAACTAAAGCTTTTCAGAATTAAACAATTTGGAGAAAAATAATCAACGCTTTCATGAAAGTGACATTTCTGTACATAACAGACAATAACTATATGTTTTCAGCTTTATCAGAATATGTACATATTGAAGTGTATTGATGAAATATAGAGATGAACTATAGGGATAGAGAGATTGAAATGTTGAAAGATCCTCTCTCAAAACCTTCTTACACCATCACAGTTGACATTGCTATTATAATGACCAGTGACATTTCATAAAATAGTAGACACAGCCATGTTCCCCTCATTTTGTAATGGTCTGTTCTTTCTAACAGGTACTAATATATCTGATAGGTATTTAATGATTTAACATGTATCTGGAAGATAAAATGAACAGAAAAGAATTTTAATCAAGAGACTCGTATAGACTTAACAAGAACTAAAACTGATCTAAAATGGCCTTGATCAGCTACCTTTCCTTGAAAACACCTTAACAAAATGAGCTCTGCTATTCTGATGGGAACCTGGAGGTGTCATGGCCAAGGCACCCCAGCAGGCTTCACTCACCTCGCCCCAAGAATTCCCATGGAGTAGGGACCCCAAGTCCCTTGGAGCAGAACATGACAATCTCCATACATATCCAAATAGAGTAACAGTTCCACAGGAGAATCAAGATAGCAGACTTCTCCCTAGCCATGGATACTGATGGCAGCATTGAACAATTGCTCAAAAATTGTTGGATTCCTTGGAAGGATAAGGGGGAGCTTGACTCTGCAGCCTTAAGGTTACAACTGGGAGGTGCTGGGCTTAATAGTCTTCCTCCCAGGGTTTCTGCCTTCCTCACATCCGACTGCCCCAAACTTGAGATTAGAGCCTGGTTCTTTCTTGAACTGTCTCTCCTGCGATGATTTTTAGCTATGTACGGATCGGTTCAAAAGGTTGGTTCAGGATAGTACTTTCACCTGGGATCCAGAAGAAAGAGATTTGCATCAGCCCAGGCTGGGACCTAAAATAAACCTAGACTCTCTTGCTTTTAAAGAAATTGCAGCCTCCAGCACTGGAGGATGTGCATCTTACTGCAACAGACAGACGTGGAACTCCTTGTTTGTCTCTAAGTTTAAGCATAAGACAGGACAAAAGCATAAAATGTTTTACACTTCTATTTCTCATATTTGCAAACATGTAAAATCAGCAATATGACTAGCAATTGTATTTATAGAGTGGATAAATTAGCTTAAGCACTTTATTAAAAATTGAGTCTGATTTTTCAAAGTAGTGCAAATTATTAAATAACATTTTATTTTAAAAATCAGATGTATATGTAGGACCCTAACTTTTGGTAAATACTTTTAGAAGTGCTAGCCAAATTTCTTACTAGAGATTTCTCTTCAAATGCTATTTATGAGAATAGAGGAAAAATCAATTCTATACTGAAAAAAATCCCTGAAACAATATTCTTATCAAAACAGGCAAAGGAAACAAGATTGTCCCCTAAAAGCAAAATTTAAGTTATTTGATTTGAACATCAAAACTTCTCAGTTAAAGGTCTTGCACACAAAGGATTACATTTCCTCCTATTTCCAGAGCCATTCCATTTCAATTCTACCTCTAAAAAATTATGTCTAAATTTTGTCATTCTGTCTGTCTACAGTGCAAAAAATATAGCTGCCCAACTGCTACAGATCTAGCAAAATATCAGGAGATGTGTGATATAAATGGTTGATGAACTTTGCTCCAGGGCTTTATGTCCATTGTGTAGCAAATATAAAAAATGTTATTGTTGCAGCAAGCAAGGCCTTTCCAAGAAATCTGTGATCCACATGACAGTCTGAAAAGAATATGGCTGACACCTACAGAAATGTGGAACAAAGAAAAAAACCAAAGGTTGTTTAAGTGGTTTTATATTACTGTTTAAATGAGATTGAAGTGTCAATTACTGTCCTTAAAAGGGAATGCTAGAATGAAGACAATTTCAGTTAGCCAGCTTCCTAGTGGGGGAGCATGGCTTTGCATTCCTGTTTTCTATTTGAGAATTGCTTGATGTTTTGCTGTTTTTTTTTTCTTCTTGGCTTCAAACTTGACACACTAAACAAAGACTGAAACCCGGGGGACATTTCCCAGCAATTAAACAAATTTTTATCACAATGTTTAAACCATGTTAACAATGTTACGTTGGATTCTTTGCAGAATACATGGCATTGCTTAGTAAAAGAATTGAATAAGACAGTGTGGTGATCTAAGCTAGAAAGTTAAAAGAATCTCTATAATGACAGGTTCATAACTTGACAGGGTCAGCTCAGGTCTTCACCACTAAGGATAGATCAGTGCAGCTGGTAAAGGACAAAGGTCTTCTGAAGCAAGCTGGGAAATTCTATTTTGCATGTTTATTAAAGTAATGATTAGGGTTATGACCATGTTTGGGTTTTTTTTTTATGGTATGTGGATCTGTGTCCAAAGTGATTTTTGCAGAGTACTCTGGGATCTTTGTCCTTGCTGACTCATACAAAGGTGTACATACATTTTGGTGACATTTGAAAAATAGAGTGCCCACATGGAAGAAGGAAGAAAGAAAGAAGACAAATATTAGCTGAAACATCCCATTTCACTTGGCCAAAGAATTCTGGCATATCCTCCCTATATGATTTTGAAAATGTAAAAGAAAAATCTCTGAGGAGTCAGTGGGCCCTTACATTCTGTACTCATAAAGATCCATTCAGACCAGCCATGCTATAAACTCTGCATTGTCTTCATGAAAGCCTGAGCATAGTCTTATTGTTAAACTCTGCAACGTCCTGTTTGCCAAGCATGTAAGCTCCTCAGAGCTTCCACCACTGGTATACTCCACAGTATAACCACGGAATATTTCACATTCTGATATAGCCACTTCAAAATATAGGCACAAGCACTTGAAGATAACTATGCCTCTGCATCCAGAAAAAAAAAAAAAAAAAAAACACAACCAGCTATTAATAGACATTATTCAGCCATCCTGAGAATGCAATACATCTTCATTAGCACCTCAGTAACCAGAAATATGGTCAAAGAACACAAACCCAACAGTGGTGCATGCACTTGCATGTAAGTATCAAAAGTAATACAAATTCAACTAGTAAACTTTTACTGATATATATATATAAAAATATAAATATTATATAAATATATATAATATATACATAATGCTACTCTGTCTGTGCGCAATTATGCTCTCATTTTTAATTACATAATCTGATATTTTTACTATTTTTCCTTCTACAGACTGATGATCAGCCTTTATTTACATGGTTCAGTACAGATGGCTATTTTGGGGGTTAGATTTTGATGCCTTTGGTTTCTGGGTTTAATTCTAATAAAAATTAAAAATAAGGACAAAGAGACTCTCAGCCATCCAGTATGATACATCTCTTAGCATAGTAAGTACCTTTAGACTGAGTTTGGAGTTTACCTATCCCTTTGGTTTTTGTTGACCAAATACAGATTTACACTTTAACTGCCTCAGTAACATTCTAAGTCATCAAATTTTAAATGTGCCTGTCAAACAAATATCACAGAAGTCTTCAGAGATGCACAAGTCATCTAATCACATTTGTGCTAAAATGTTACAAATTCCATCTAGAAACTTATTTTCAACATAAGAAAGATGGAAAAAAACCCAAAGCATCATCCTGGTCTTTAAAGGAAAGTGTGTCACTGAATACTGACTATAACAATAGCTCAAGAATAGAGGGGTGTCATGTTCTGTTTATAAAGGGTAAGTATATCACAGTAGATTCACTCTTGGAAAGCCTGAAAAACCTTGCATGATACTGTAGGATAAGAACAAATCCAAGTAACTGTGCTCTTTGTCTTCTACTGCGGTTGATCTCTAAAAGTCTCTCAATCATACAAATTATTTGCCCTTGCTTATTATTAATAGTTTATTTGCCAGACCCTTTTATTGTTTGGCCTTCCACTGTCCAGGGTTATGAGCTCTTCAAATTTGGTCACCCATCTTTAGTAGTGTTTTCTTCATTTGTGTAGGCTTCATCCCCAGCAATCATGTTATTACAAAGAAATATAATTTTCCATAAAAATGATAAAACACAGAAACAAACCATATTTCAAAGTCCTTGTCTATTTGAATTTAATTCTCAAAGTCAGTAAAAACTCTAATCAATCCTTCACATGCTCTTAACAGAGTTTTGCTCCAGATGTTGCAGAAAATAACTGGAATCTCGATTTCCCTGACTTTCATGGCCCTTTAGAAATGGAGCTGTTCCCACTACTCCATCTTCTAACTTTGATTTGCTTCCTTAGAAAGCAGCAACGACTGGGCATTGCTACTCATCCTTTCTCATTCTTGAATAAACCTAGAATTAATTAACCAGCACTATTTCTGCTACACATACAGTGACTGCCTTTTAAATTGTCATGGATCAGCCTTCCCATAGTTTTGGTGATCAATATTTGTATGTAGTTGAGTCAGCTCACATTTAGGCCTAGATTCATTTTGCAAGACTGAAGAATGTTTTCTGTATCTCATGTTTGAAGACCACAGCTGGTATTAATTGCAACTGCAAGTAATTGTTGGCACAACCATAACTGGTTGGTCTGAACCATCTTACTGATGAAAAGATGTATGCTACATCACTAAGGTCTTTGGCAGGCAGGGGCTTACTTCCATTGCTTATATTGAATATACAAAGAGGTGAACAGGCATAAATCTCCCTAACAGTTTTCACAAAACTCAAATCCTATGCAACATATTAAATTATTTCCAAAATGTTATTTTAGAAACAGATTGTGAAAACTCTTACTCGCAAAGCTCCTCCTTCACCCAAGGAAAAGAGGGTTTAGTCATTAAGGATGGATGCTACCAGGCGGTACTGCTGTCAGTTAACAAAATTTATATAAAAATATTATTGCTTGCTAGATTTCTGAACTTGCTTTTGTGCTTGAAATATACAGCATAAGCTTTGCATGCACTCTCATAGGACTTTTGAATTTTAAAAAATCTAGATATTTTCCAGGGAATAAAATTTTCTCATTTTTGCAATTAAAGATTATAATATCCAGAGAGAGGAAATGGCAATATTTTTCTTTCAGTACAATATTAACATATTCAGATAATTAGCTTTCACAACACCTCTTGGTCTAATAACACCTAAAATCACTAGCCAATCCCTTCATTCATGTGAATGTTTGGTAGCATGGTAAATACCGTGAAAACCATTTCCTAATGAAACCTATAAATGGATAATCCCAGTTCCACAATTTTTAAAGCAAATTCTAACACAATGGGATTCTAACACCTTCTAAAGGTATGTCTTTGAAACATCACCTTTGCTTTTAGCTGTGTGCATAGCTACTCAAAGTGCCTTGTACTGAAATATGTAAGCTATTTTGTCATTGAGGTAAAACATGGAAGAGTGCCCATTTCAAACATACATCTGAAAATACATTAATATGCACAAAATAAACTACTTGCTCCTGACTTTAAGGGCAGTAATAATAACTTTTGCAACAGCACTGCTCATCATGTTTTTGCATTTCTGTGCCAGACAGTTAAATTTATCAGTGCTTAAAACATATACTCAACACTGTTGGTCAGTTAAACAGTGTTTTGCAAAAGTGCACCTGATTTGGGAAGTCCAAAAAAGTTAGTAATAGACAGGTATTGCCTTCTCACATAGGTTCAAGAAACAGGTAATGAAAATACATGTTTTTCTGAGACACTAGGTAACATTTTAAGGTTTGATTTCTTCCAACCCCAAGAATCAGATGGGCTGATTCAATATTCTGATTCAATGTATTTATTCAGTCCATAACTCAGAGGAAAGTTCTTGAATAAAAAGGTCCACAACTTTCCTTTTATTTTATTATGAACAGATAGGAAATGGGTTACCCAATCCTTGAATGTCATTTTTTTAATGAAAGAGATTCAGAACCACTGCACAGGAACTGGGAATGGATCATAAGCACAAGGTAAGTAAACTCAGTCTTTCTGCAGAATAATTTATTAATTTCTAATACTGGTGATTTACAGAAAATGGAATTCAGATCCCACTAACAGTTGTCTTCTCTATCCATCTGCAACTTTTTTTCCCCTGTAATTTAAGTGATTTCTATCTTGAGATTTGTTTAATATGGAAACCACAGCAAGTAATATCTGCAAGAATCCATAAAGATAATCTCTGACTCTGATTAGGACAAGAGTGTACCAAAGGTAAAACTGAGGTCTGAAGGAGCTAGCCATAAGAGAGAAAAGACAAAAATGTTTGACTAAATACCACCTAAATTTAACGGACAAGTTAATGGACCCCAAAACTGCTTCAGATTTTAGAAGCTAAATGGCATCCAAGTGGCTTCTCTAATTTGTAGGGATAATAGCAGAGGCACAGGAAATTAATTAGTCAGAGCTTTCACACAGTAATTGTAAAATTTAAATTTTATAGGTGAATTTAATTTACTTAAATATGGGAAATTGCATTGGCGTGCTGACATACTACAACTGAACAAGCAGGGAAATGAGAACAACTACTGCATTTTCAGAGCTAGGATGCCTTGCTAGTCAGCAGTTCTCTGCCAGTAATATAAAGTACATGGAAAATTCAGTAAAATGGCAGGTTAAAATTTGATATGAAAGATGAAGCCACAAGTAATGCACAATATGAAAGAAAAGCCATGAACAATACAGCAAAGCTAGAGCTCTTTCAATATTTTGACTTCTTGCTCTCTCTTGTTATCATAACCTTATGCTTTACACTTTTTGTCTTTTGATCAATAACAACTCTACTCCTAATCAAAATAGCCTCTAGTCAATGAAGCTAAGTTTGAAATTTCAGTGCATGAAATTTAACTTACTAAAATTATTCAGTTCTCAAATTATATCTTCCCCAGGGTGAAAAATAACTATACCAGAGTTTCCATAATTTTTATAGCAGTTTTCAAGTGCAAAGATAAAACAATTTATAGATGGATTTCATGTGCTACTTGGAAGATTAAAGGCTAATTTGTAGATAATGGAGATGGGAAATAAGAACTGATATGACAGAAATTGAATTAGTTTAAAGTCTTTAGGTATAGTACATGTGTCATCAGTTACCTTTTAGCACTTTTTGAAGAGTACATAGTTTATAGGTAATAAAAATTACATAAGCATCTTAAATTCTTACAGTTTGCCAATATTTAAATATATTGAGGGGGAAGAGAGTGAAAAGTATGTGAGGTGAGCTGTGATAAAATCACTTAGGAAAAGTAAAATAAAAAAAAAAAAAAAAAACACAGAGAAAAGCAGTAGAAGAGACAGACCTGAATTTCTTCTCCATGATGATTCCGCTTCTTCTGTGATCACATCGTGTAATGTACAGACATAGACAAAGGAGATGGGCGTGAGAGGATGTATTCAGAAGGTTAAAACTGACACTGAGGGAAAGGGCCAAAAATTGTTTTAGAGAGAATTCTGCAGAGCAGAGTTAGTAAATGGGAAAAAAAATAACACAGACACCAGAAGGAAAAAGAAAGCTGAGGAAGAAGTGGTTAAAATTACTGTTGTTGAAAAAAAACAGTAAAGACAGGGTTAGTATAGAAGCTGAGAAAATAATAAAAGTTATCACTGACAGCAAAGTCAATCCTTGCAATGAAGCTGAAGAAAACGCTGGATGGTAAAAGGTTTGTTAACTAGCATAAACAGTTCTGTTTGTGACTGTTCAACTGTTTGGAATGTTATCTACATGAACATAAGCATTATTTTTCTCTTTCAAGTATTGAACATTCAGTTTAACATCACCAATGGGAAGTCTATTATTAGAGCTTTCAATTATTAAATTGTTGTAATTTATGATGAACGAAACTTCACATATCCAAAATGGAAAACAGATTTTTTTCAAAAGGATATATAAGCTCAGGAATTTCAGAATCCACATAACACACTCTGGAAAGGACTTCATTATTTTAACACTCATTCAAAGGCAATAGTTTCAAGATCAAAGTACAGAACGTGAGAAAAGAGAATGTATAGCTATTAACTACCATGGTCAATTCAGCATACTTTTTCAGAACCAAATGTTACTCTCATCTCACAGAAGTCTAAATTATTGAAAATGCGTGCAAGTTAAATGCCAAAGCAACTATCTCATTACTTACTTTATTACTTTACATTCAGAACCACTGCCATTTCAAACATGGAGAACATCTGAGGGACAGTGTCATTTTCTGTACTGAAAATCTACTTATAGCAAAAGGATGGGAGGAATCTTGAAAAGTAATAATAATTACAGAGAACTGTGACGCTACCATCACTAGCAGAACAAATGCATTCTTCCAAAAATCACCAGAAATAACAAAAATAAATATATATATATATCTAAGGTCTGACCTAATTTCAACTTGCAGTTTGTTAATGAGTCACCAAACATTGCTCATAATTCACTAACACCGCAGATGTTAGATTAAGAATTCCAGAAATGTTCATATACCAAAAAAATATGCTATAATTTTATCCACATTTTGCAGTCAATATTAAGATATGTGACAAATGCAAAATTAGAATAAGCAATATAAATCAACAAAATGAAATTAAAGACAACACTAAATTTCATCTGATAACCACTGTGTCTAAAGGAAACAATTTTATTCTATAGTTGGCAGGTTACAATTTTCATCTACTATCAAATGCCAAGACTGTACCAAAACTCTGTTGTAAACACAAGCAACTTGTAACATATATATTTAGAATGCATTTTTAGGCAATTAAATTTGAATGAACACATGTAAGTGCTATATATGAGATATGTAATATGAAAGCATAGCAGCTGACAGTTCTGACAAAGGATGCTATGTATTCACATGCTAAAAAGAAGTAATGGTGTATAAATATCTTTTTATATGGGCATGTACAATGAATCCATAGGATGAAGTACAAATAGGTAAATACAAAGATTTACTGCTCCATGGTGTATTACAGTTTATATTAATATAGTGTAGCTATAATTGATGTAACTGTTAAATAAATCAGTCATTAATACCACCACCAAAACCCAGCTGAAGTACTTAAAATTTTCTGAAAATGTTTTCTATTACATTTCTATAGCCCTGAAGTAAGCACTTATACTACGTCAAAATCAGTTATTAGAAAGTCTCTATTATGACTCCCTTTATACTTCATTATTTTTGATATCCATAACAATGCATAGCTTTAAGACATATGCTGCATTAAGATAAATACTTTTACAGAAATTTTCAAAGGATATTTGGAGTCATTTCCAAATTAGGAATATGCCTGGTATGGTAATAAAAGGCATTCTAGTAGTGTCAGTGGAGCTCATCATGGATGCAACTGAATACCAGGGAAGCTCCCTTCGAAGATTTTAGAACCAAATCAGCAGTATTCGCCTGCATATAAGTAACATGTACCGATACTTTTTAAAAATTGCATTTTCAGAAGTCCTCATTCAAAGTATTTGTTATGAAAAAAAATATTCACACATCAAAGTGGTAAAAAAAAGTAATTTTTAATTACAAATATTTTTCAATTTTAAGTTTTGACTGATCAAATATATTAGAAGTCTAATAGAAGTCAGAGAGGAAAATAAAAGATAACAGGTATCTTCTCACTGTGTATATCTGTTCAGCTGATATCTCATCTCTTGAGATAAATGGCTTATAATATTTTTGTACTGACTGTTGCAAATATTAATGAATTAGCAGAAGTTGTAGCATGGTAATGCACCAACTTCTTTTAATTAACAATGATAAGAAGGAAATACTAATAGACCGATTAATTTAGACACAATGGTACTTATGCGCATCCACTTCCTTCCAATTAAGAAGCCACGCCATAAATCTCAAACAATAGTTTGAAAATTCTCTGGCTCTGTTGTTTGTAATCCACTAAAATAGATCTTTGTTGATAGAAATACATTAAAATCTGAGAACAAAATCATGGGATAAAATTCTGTTATATTTACATCATGTCAACAGACAGTCTTCATTTGCATAACTATTGCTTTGTTGTGGAACTAGCACTTATTCGAATCAACTGTTCATCTTGATGTATGAGTGGTATGTATAAGTGTATTATACACAGATTTAGAAACAAATGAGACTCTCGATGAATCAACTTATAAAGTAAATGAAACCCAGGTATTGTACTGCAAGTCTGAATAAAACAAAATAAGTACCATCTATTTTATCATGCTTTGATACAGAACTTTTCATTGTAAGTAATGTCACTTACTAAAGAGAAGTTTTTAGGAACTTAGTGTTCAAAAAAACATGCTTGAAACCTTATATAGCAAATGTGCCCATCTGAAATTCTAAAAGCAGCATAGGACAAAAAGATGTAAGTTAACTGCTCTTATTTTTTTCCTCAAGGCTTTTCTTAATTTCAGTTTTTTCTTCTCCTGAAAACCAAAGACATACATGGTCTCAGAAATCTATGTGACTTTCAGGTTTGGAAAACCTCATTTCTGGACACTCTTTACAAAATAAGATGTGCAATAGCATCGTCAAATAGACCTAATCTTAAAACATGGAGGAGACTTTATGATAGGAATGTTCCATGAAGTCTGTATGTTCCGTAAATACATGTCATTAGTGTGGATGTGATTGGACCTGCAGAATGACATAATACATCTAAATCTCAGGAAAGATATTCCCTGACACCATTCAAACTCTGCAATGTTAAGGATTCAGATAAAAGAGGAAGAGTAGATAGCAGAATTGTTAAGAGCAGCAATATTTGTTAAAAGAAGATTTAGAGTGAAAGGCTATTTGACTACATTGAGGTGTGAATAAAATCAGTTTTCCTTAATCTTCTTTAACAGTGATAGGTCACACCTTCCAGTTACCCTTCTTATAGATACAGAACCTGTTCCGCTCCCATTTTTTTTAATGAGGTAATTCCCTACTAGTTAAAGGTGAGTTCTTTATCTTAAAGTGTAAATCCATACACACAAAATCACAGCTGTATACTGTGACAGTATATTGGCAATATACTGACAGATGCCGACTTTCTTCCTTAAACAGATAAGCCAAGGTCTAACTATGATAAAGAAAATACAGGGAAGACAGAAGCAATACATTTAATTTTGCAATTACATAACATATGCTATATATAATAAATATTATATATAATATACACTAGGTAAAGGCAATAATATAGAAAATGTGTGTTATTCCTACCCAAAGATAAGGATAATAGAGAAGGTAGAAAACAACATACAAGAAGAAATCTTAAATATGCTCAGTATCGTGAACTTGATAAATCAAACGAAACCATGTAGACTGCATTACTATTTTATAAATCTCAAAAGATAAACTAATTGAGGAATTCAGAGAGAGATCTTTTATTATTTTGTTTCTCTGAATAAAGTTCATAATTATAAATTTATAAGGGGAAAAAGACAAAATAGTAGTATTTCAAAATATTAATTTACTAGTTACACATTGGAAATATCATAAATTCTGAACAGGTAAGAACTCTCACTAATAAGTTAAGTGATTTAAGTCGTCAAACATCAATATTACTTCAGAAAAGATACCTAACAGCATAGATACAAATACACACTCTATTGTCAATAAAGGATAGATGAGCTATCCTAAATCAGATATCCCCCTATTCTAAATCTATTCTCATCCTAGTAACATCAAGAAGTTTCATCAACTAGAGAATTAGATTGTCCAGGATCTCACATAGTTAACTGCAGGGATAGTTTCCAAAACACAAAAAAGCGTTAAAAGGATATATACAAAAAGGTGTGTTGTTTGTTAGACATTTTCAGGCCAGCTCACTATTTGTGATCCATTGTAAATTACAATTATACCCTGAATTAATGCAAGTTGACTAGGACACTGAAGTGCACTATTTGACTACATCTGTGCCCTACTCACACTGGGACTGCAATTCCCACCCACAGAGTCCCCTTTTCTCTCTGGAATCCAATTCTTTGTTACAGACTAGGCATATTGTCTTTCAAAGTGGTACAGGAAAAAAATGAAAGCAAATTTTAAAATAATCAAATACATGAAAGAACTATCTATTTTAAATACACCATTTATTAATTGCAAGAGGAGTCCTTGGAAAGTGTGCAAACACTCATATTTTTCAAGAAAACAATTAGTCATGCTTTATATTCAATCTCAATTACTTCTCACTTGTCAAAGGTTAAAATATCCTCTTAGATTCTCAACATGTAGCTCATTTTGCAAATTTTATCCACTTCACTGCTTTTCAGATTCCACAGTATCCTCATAAGATCTTTTTCTGTACCTTCCCCAGGCCTGACACAGCACACTGAAACTTCCCAGTCCATTTTTTTCTGGAACCTGTTCTATTGCTCAGTCACTTTTCCTCTTCAGCAATCATAAACTAGTCCATGACTTCGCTCTGCTCCTCTCCTTTTCAGAAACTGGTAATTTTATACCAGCTGCCTTATTTAACTGTAATTTCTGATTTATCCAATGCTTATGATGTCATTTATATGAAGTACTAGTATGCTCTCCCCATTCTGTGTCCTATCATTACTTTGTCTTTTCCAGACTCATTCATTCCCCATTTCTAGCCATATCCCTGTTTTAATAATTCTCAATCTATCATACTTTCAATTCTGACTACAATCTTCTAAAATAACCACCACTTTATTTTGTACTATTTTTAACTACTGTCTTACTACTTCAGCTGATTCCATGGCAATTGATAAACTACAGAATTGTAGTCACATTAAAATTATTTCTGAAGGGCTTTGTCTATGTACAGTCAAGGAATACTTCCACTCATGAGAGAGACATAAAAGTTCCATGGATAAAACAGGACATGATTCCCTTCAAATTGAAAGGCAAGCTATCTATCTATCCACTTACCATTTGTGTATATATATATACATAAGTGTGTATATATATACTTACCATTTGTAAACATGCATTACCTTTGTATTTTCTGATGTGTTTAACCTACCATTGTTATGATTCCTCCAAAACTTTAGTGCTATATTAAAGAAATATATTTTTCCCCCGAATAATTACAAGGACACTCCATTTTTACTTCATTCCATTCATAGATGTATAAATCCATTTCAACTATTCTGTCTCCTCTTGGTCAATCATATTAAAGTATGTCAGCACCTTCCCATGGTTCTGTTCTTCAACTGTTGCTTAGAAGTTAAAAGTGTCTGTGGCAAATGTTGGTTATTTGATGACACTGCAAGTTTCTCAACCGGCAGTGATAATGAAATTGTTACAGGGTTGTTTCCAGATAATAACGATCAAATCTACTGTCGGAAGAACAATAGTGTTTCCTTTGCTATCTCATGCAGGTAATTTCTGCATTACCTGTAACATCTCTGGATGGAGACACAGTTTGCTAGACTGCATTCAGCTTCCAAAACTTTGGATACTGAAACTGGTTGAGCACTTCAAAATCAGTTGACAGGAAACAGAAATAAGTATCACTGCCTTGGTGCCATAAACTATGTGCTTTCTCCCTTTAAATAAATCTAATGGGTTCACAAGAGGCTAGTGATGTTAATAAATTAAAATAACTGCTTTTTAAGAAAAATGGTATATAACCTAAGTTTATCTCTATCAGTACAGGAAACAGTCCCTACCCATAGACTACATCTTTTCCAACTTTTTCTCTTAAGGCCTCCACATATAAAAATTCAAAACCATGAGAAAATGTTTGCATGCTGTGCTTTTTTTTTTTTTTTCTTTTTTTCTTTTTTTCTTCATTAACCAAATAAATGTGATTAGATGACTAGAGCTTTATTCACTTTATTTCATATGCTATCTATCACAGCTCAGAGGCAGGGGTGCTGAAAGTCGAAATGGTTAATAATATCAGATAGAAACACATAACTATTCCACACGCTCTTTGATTCAGTGGTGTCCTGAGAATGCAGTATTCTCTGACAGAGTGCTGACATCGGCTAAAGGAAGAGCACACACATTCAGGACATGGCTTGAATTTTGATGTTATACTTACTTATGATTCTGCAATTTTACCCTTCCAATTCTTCAAAATCTTGGCATAAATACAAGTGACTCTGTAGTATATGGAACAACAGTTTTGCAAATTGCCTCAGAAATTAGAGATTAGAGGAACTGTTAAGAAAACCTGTTGATTTCTGATATTCAAGAACAGGAACTTTATCAGCATCTTCTATTGAAAAGCCTGAAGCCTAAGAACCATCTTACTTCTTTATTTAATTATCTTAAATTGTCCTGCAACAGATTAGCTAATCTCATTTCTACTCATCCATATTTCTTGACTATTAATGCTTCACGTGATACAGTATTACTGTTATTCTCTTCTGTTATTTGGAATTATTTTTATTATCTATTTATATTTTTGTCTACAATTTGCTCACAATCTCAGTTCTTCTCTCAAGGTATTTATGTAATCAATATCTATTTTTTCTCACAGATTTTCTTAAATGTATTACTGCCATGGCTATTTCCATGTGACTAGTTAGGTTAAATGCTTAACAGACAAACTGAGCTCAAAAACGGGAGAAGCTTCCGTAACAGACTATAACAGAAAAATCTTTGTATGAAAAGGCAATCAAAACAGGGCAATAGCAATATGAGGTGCCCATATTCCTCCTTGCTTCTCTCTGCAGACTGCCAACTGCAGCCAGGCACTAAGTTGTACTAGTATCATCTGGCTGTTTTCTGTGTAAACAGAACATTTAAAGCATTCTCAGATGACAAATAGCACAGCCCTGTACAGAGGGTAAATCTCATATTGGAAAGCTTCAAGGAATTTGAGGGTTCCTTAGGTAGATTCCATCAGGCTACATCACTGGTACATCGTCGTCACAGATACAATATATCTCAACATTCAGGAGTGAGTATAGTGTTATGGCACCTCCTTTCAGATATCCTAATTGCTATGTTTTGAAAATGAAGTGTTTGCAATGATATAGGAATGTCTACAGGGGACAGTAGTGTGCCACATATAGCAGATAATGGAAATCCTGGAAGCTGCATTGCTTTGTCACACTGGTACTCCTCTACTTCTGCCACTTTAGTACACAGGGCTTTTTGACAAAGAGAATCAGTTTGGAAAAGCATCCTACAAATACATGTATGCATTATTTGGTGCCCATTGTAGAGTGTTCAGAACCACCTCAGATGTTTCTGCCTCATGTATTGTTGTCCTATGTGAACATACCATGGAAGACATTACCGATATGCAAATCAGAGCAGATTTACACTCTTATCAGGCATCAGCCCTCACAGAAAGACCTAGGACTGTAGAGTGCAGAACACAATTTTAATTCAACTTTGTATCTATTCTAGACTTTGGCAATTGCAACTTGCTTTCCAAACCAATTCTGTGTATTCCCTGCAGCACTGGAGACCAGTGGTACAGTTCCAGAGGGAAAAATAGATAAAAATCAGGTAACTATTGGTTTAATATACAAAACACTTCTAAAGTGACAACTTTTTAATGTCCATATTTGTTTCTGATTTCTATTCGTCTAGGCTTTTTTTATCTTAGAATGACAAGATTTCACACATTCCAAAATCTAGAATAGAATGCCCCAAGAGAAGCCACCTAACAAAATATGGCTCCTGTTTCTAAAAAATGGGTAGGTGGCTCTAAAAAGGTATTGCTAATAAATATGAATGTGCCATCTGCCTAGACCACAGTTCTAAGCCCACCTCAGCTGAGAGATGGAGATAATGTTCTTACCTAGCTACTATGTAAGGGAAAAGTCTGGGCAGAGGCATTATTATATAAAACTCACTCTGGAAAGGCAACAGTGAAGATCTGTAGACACTGTATTTTGGATCTGTCATGCAATAATTAAAACACCCAGCTGGAAAAGAAGATACACTGCGTTTTGATCCTGACTCTTAAATGCAGTACTTGTTTTATCCTGTAACCTCCTCTGATGCATTAAAAAGTCAGGGAACAGAAAATGCAACTGTGGGTCTGGCCTTTTTCAGCCAGCTTCCCTAATTCCTAGGTTACAAAGTCAGTCCAGATTTTGCTGCTCTTCTTCAGTTCTGTCCTCTTGCACTTTCAGCTGTACAATAGTTGAGGTTCAACAAAAAGATAGAGATGAAGAATTGCACTTTATACTTGGGGTAGAAGAAAGTTTGTGATAAGTTTTTAGTTCAGAAGAAATCCATTCATATACAGGATGGAGGAAGGAAGAGTTCTCTTAGATTTGAGAACTCCAGCCATATGGAGATATAAAATGCATCTCGTATTAAAAATTACATCAGAACACTGTTTCTGCCATGTGTGATGGTGCAAGAAGATTTCAGATTCGAGTCTTTAGAAGATGACTTTCCCACCATACATGCAGTAGATACCTTGATTTGGTCAACTAAATAAGAATCAGCATAACTCATACTTGGATTCCTGAGGCTTGCACACATAGATAAATCATAACAAAATTCAAAACTAAAAAGCAAACTAAGTCTAATATTGTGCCAGAACACTTCTTTTCTAATGCATGTGCATTCTAACACAATTCTTTACAAAAGCAAATCTATTTTGGCTATTCTAAAACAGAACTATGTAATCTAAATGGTCTCTACATACTATAAATTTCACACCAAAGTGAAAAAAAATAAGGTACATCAAGCACACACGCATTACAAAAGCATGAAATGTGTTTTTATAGTCTCATGCTTTCATGTGGTTTTCCAAACCCTGACAAACCTGGCTCAGAATGGTGTTTCTTTGTCGGCAATGGTTTGTCATCAGTTATTGTACCATTCACCTTTTTCTGCTGGTCCTCCCATGTAACTTCTATCATAAACCAAAAAAAAATCAGAAATATTATGTAACTTACATTAGAAGACACCTAATATCATTTGGGACAACTTGATCTAAACAAAAGTATTATCATTAACATCGCAAAAATTTAGATTAGTTCTTAGAGGCCTGTGGTGGAGAGAATTAGTAAACATCTTAAACAGAATATACCATACGAAAGTTAGCATCTATGTGACTTGGCAAATATTCTGCTCTCTTTGATATTTAACAATTGGAATAAAAACCCAGGAGGTTATTTACACAATAATTTCTTCCATTTTTAAAATTTAGTATGCTATATTCTATGGCTTCTTACAGTAACTCTGTGCTTCTGTAAATTAAAAATGAAGTTAAAAATATTTTGGTAAAAAAGTCTTTGCAAAGATATAATGTAAACAAACAAACAAACAAAACAAAACTGAACCAGCAATCATGTATGTTTACTTTAAATTGACAAAGTATTTTTAACAATTAATTGTTAAACCAAAACCAGGTTGGAATTACTTTCTAAATCTGGAATTTAATTTAAATTCAGTTTTTATTTTAGGCAGATTAAGTTACTCAATAACAACACTCTTGCTAATTATGGATCCTATATCTTGAAACCAGCATTTCTGACCTAACCGCTCAGAAAAGAGCTATAAATAGGAGCACGTACACTCTCCTCCAGATTGAGACTCAATTCTCTAGACTTGCAAGACATTAGTCTTTCTGAGGTTGTCAGATATTTTTGGTCTACACTTTAATTCTCCATCTTCTGACAGTTAAACTGTGTGGTTAGCATAATACTGTAGGTTTTAAACCTTTCAGTATCTCATGCCAAAACCAAATCTAGACCAATTAACGAGACAGATGCAGTACCCAATTCCAATTTTGCTTTGGGCTGTTAAGAATCTGCTTATTTCACTCATCCCAGAAAGCGCAAAGCTCTTCACAGCCATTGCCCACAGATATAACCACTTTTATGGTCACAGAAATAGCCAGTGATGCAGAAGAATATGATAGGTATGGAATACATTTTTAATCTTACAAATTCAAAATAAATTGACATAAAGTGATATTAGCTTATGACTGTTTTTTCTTTTTAAATGACACTGATGGATATCTGGCATTCAAAATGTAAACATGAAGAAATATTATCTGTAGACATCCTGCAGCCTTCTTAATTGTGGCTGTTGTTGTTCTATGACAGGCTGCTGTCCTATAAAGGGTGGCTTTGATTTCTGAAAATGATGGAGTTGTAGGCTTCAAGTAATACATCAACAAAATTGTCAATATAATGATTTTATGACACCACAGATATGCATGCTGAAACAGAAACTGTCATCTTTGAAGTACCAAGTACATACTAAATAAGGAATTTCAAACAGAACATTCTGTTTCCAAACTGTGGAAATTAAATCTTATTGTGTTTCTTCCTAACAAAAATGTGATTCCTTATGAAAATACACATTTAGTAACAAAATATTTACTGATGCCATGTATGCTTCCTTTTTCCTGGGTGAGTCCAAAAGTGTCTTCTTAACTAACACACATAAAAGAGTTTAATGACCTGTGTAAAACTACCTCTGAATTTAAGGAATAGTCACTGCTAGGAAAAAACAACATTAGACAATAATTTAGGATAAATAATGGAGGTACTTAGAATAAGATGAAAAGTAGGCAGACAGTAATTTCAAACACAGGAATTTCTTGGCATATATAATGGACAGTCTAAATACTGAAGAATATCAGGAAGCCCAGAGTGATTTTCACGTTAGCTTTAGGGCAGTTTTAGAAGACAGGACCTTCTTGTTCAGAACCTAAAAACTGTAGTTTGCTCAGCACCAAAATCACTTTTCATATCAGAGTTCCCTACAAAAAGAAAAGCTTTCCTAAGCCTTGTTAATTTTCTGAGATAAGTATCTAGAAAATAATTAACCCACTTGGGAGCACTCTGTAAGTGCTTCTATAATAACACTTGAATTGACAAGCATGACAAAATAAATACCAAATACAAATATATCTCTTAGAGTAAGTATTTTTGCCATGTGTTAACCTTAAAAATGGAAAAAAAAAAAAAAAAAAACAAACAAACAAACCGAAAAGCTATTACAAAAGCAAGACAGGCTACTTTTTAATGTTTATACTAAAAGCAATAATATGAGGAGGTAAACACTTTCAGAAATGTTCCAATGACCATCCTTCTAGAGCTGTAGCTATTCTTATGGCATGTTAGCATTAAATTCAAATGGCTGCTTACTTTTATCACCAGTTAATTACAACTCCTATATTTAGTATATATAGATCAAAGGTATTCCAGATCAGGTGAAAAGCTTCATTGAGTTCTAGAACATCGCAAGAGTTTGGTTAGTAATGGTTAATATTTTAACTGAGAAATAAAAATAGATATATCCATTAGATTTACTCCAACATTTAACCTTTTCTTCACTATTTTCTAATTCCATTTTCATCTGCATGCTCTTCAAACTTAAGAGAATATGTTGTTTAATAAGAACTTTCTGTTTGGGAACTAGTAAGAGATGCTGACAAATAGGAAAAATGCTAAATGTCACTGCTACCCATGCCCTCTCTGGTTAGATAAATATGCATTATAGTCACTAAAATCTCTTTTTTCCCCCAAGGCAAAGGGCCACCACCTATCCCTTTGCTGTTTTAACCAAGCCAACTTTGGTCAAACTGTAAATATTAGGAAAGAAACCATACAGTTTTCTAATTCATCATTCACCTCCTACCACTTTCACTTCCCATACATATGAACTTCAGTCTGTCTTCTGTTGCGATAATCAGTTTTGACTTACGTATAAAGAAAGGTGTAAAATTATTGAATATTTATACAAACAGACCTTCTAGATGATATAAAATATGAGATCCTTGAGTCAGAATATTTTAGTTATCTGATGCACCTTTGGGGCTAGAAGGATTTGACAGGTGCACTGATCCAGATCTTTCCCACCAGTATGGAAGGAAAAATCTTTAGATGTTTCATTAGATGCAGTTGTTGCACCTACCCCCTGGGCACTGCTCACCACAGTGAGTTATGTAGCTGGGCTCTCCTTGCTGCACATCAGGACGACACTTAGTTGTGTGCTTTGCCCTCTTGAGATTGATACTCACTTGTGCTGCCTGTAAGAGCGGGGCGGTGCACTCAAGTACATCTAGTGTTAAGTACAATCTCAGCATTTCTTACGTTTTTGTTTAGAGTACTCAATATGAAAAATATTAAAAATATGGAAATAATATGATAAATATAGTTGCGTATCTCCAGTTTTTTGGAATTTCTAAATATGACAACTTAGCATCAGGAATGTTGCAGTTGAACTGGAATGATGCAGCAAACTGCAGAAGTACAAGATGATGCAGCAAAATATCAGATGCTAACAATGAGGAGTTTTCTTATGCAAATACTGTCCCCCCCTCCTTTCTTTTCTCCATAATACAGACAGTAATAGCCCTCTTCACAATTACCCTTTGCTTGAAATATTTTTATATACTTTCTGTTTTACTTGAATTCGTATTTTCTTATTAAATCCACTCAGCTTTTATATTCTTATCAGCACCTAAAATTTCTGCGAACGAATATTTATCAGTGCATTTCTAGTTTTAGGCTTTTAATTAGGTTATCATAAAGTCTTCACTTTTTCATTAGTACATACTTAATTTAGTGATCGTTTCCTGCAGATGAAAAATCCTCAGAACTTCTTTCTATTTTTAATTTCATAAGATGAATGCTCAGAAAGGAATTACGTTCTTAATAACATATAGTGACAACTGCTGTAAAAATGAGTCAAAAGTGGATCTGGCTACTGCTTCTTAAACCCAAAGCAGCACAATAACAAGCCATTAGAACTGTGGGATAAACTGTCAAATGCTGAGAAACTCTGGAACCAGATACTTGAAAACTTTAACTAGTGCATTAAGAACACAAGAAGAATAATTAATTAATGACATAAAAAGGCTAAATTTAAAGCTTTAATTTACAAAGCAAAGTCCCTAAGAAAATAAAAAAAACCCGCTATCAGTCTCAAGAGTTCACAGAAAGAAATATTCTCAGCTGTGTCAAACCTCTACTCGAGGAAAGCAAATGGCTTCAAGTCACGATACGTGAATTGTCCCAGACATACTACATTATCTCTGGAATGAATCCAGTCCCACCTTGCACCACCAACATGCTGCTAAAGGCATCAAGATTAGCTCCAAGTGACACAAAGCCAGCAATGAAGGTTTTACGCCAGACTACTGCTGCTCCTACATCAGAGAAACCTCCAGATGCCTCAGTAAAACAGCACTGATGTCTCACTACCCTGCTGCAACAGGAACTAGATTTGTCCAATATCTGAAGACAAATAACAACACATATAGTCTTTTTGACAAACTTAGAGCAAGACCTCCTGTCTCTCCGGGTGACATTATACAGCAAATCTTGGGACACCATTTTTCAGCTTCCTCTTTTGACACAGTAACAGTTGATCTATATTTTTTCCTCCATACACAGGAAGAATATATTAAATAATGATTCTATACATTAGAGCTCAAGGAATTCATCTGAGACGTGATGATCCATGTTTCCTCCAAGGAATGAAATGGGTCTTGCATCTTAGAACATTGTCCTAAAAGGCAAGGACAGCACCTCTCCCTTCTGTCTTTTATGAGCACACCCCCACACCCCCACACCACCCCCCCGCCACACACACACACCCCCTCTCTTCACACACACCCATCCCCACACTCCTCTTCACATGGAAGTAGTTTGCAAATTTGAACCAAATCAACAAATGAATGTTGGGATACATTAATAACATTTTAAAATAAATAAATTTTTGTTCATAAATGGACATGTAATCATCATATATTGTGGTTTTAACTGATACAGCATTCCAATAATCCATATTGTAATTATTTATCATTTTAATTTCTTCTTCCTTACTGAACTACACATTCTGCAGAAAAAAAAACACCTGGGGTTCATTCCCTGGGGCTGCAGTGAGCATACA